ATACTCTTGAGCCCATTATCAATTTGAGACTATCTAACTAGAACCTTATTTCTGTTTGTCATCTTTTAAACATCTATCAGTTGTTCATTTCCTCTTTTCCTACAGTGATTTTTTCAGATCTCCTCACTATTAAAATACACAATTTAACTCATTTCCATCCTCCCTCATCAGAGAGCTACTTTCCTGCCATTTTAGAAGGACTGCCTTTTTGTTAGGAGTTGGTCCTCAGATAAGTTTACTTCTTGACTTACTAAATGTAAGACACCTGTGAGATTTCTAAGTGTAGAAAGTTATGAAGCTGTTGCAGGAAGTCAGGGACCCCAAACGGAGGGACTCACTGACACCATGGCAGAAGAACACAAATTGTGAAGATTTCATGAACATTTATCACTTCCCCAATCGATACTCCTGTGATTTCCTATGCCTGTCTTTACTTTAATTTCTAAATCCCGTCATCTTCGTGAGGAGGATGTATGTCGCCTCAGGACCCTGTGATAATTGTGTTAACTGCACAAATTGTTTGTAGAGCATGTGTGCTTGAACAATATGAAATCTGGGCACTTTGAAAAAAGAACAGGATAACAGCAATGTTCGGGGAACAAGGGAGGTAACTTTAAACTCTGACTGCCGGTGAGATGGGTGGAACAGAGCCATATTTCTCTTCTTTCAAAAGCAAATAGGAGAAATATCGCTGAATTCTTTTTCTCAGCAAGGAACATCCCTGAGAAAGAGAATGCGCCCCTGAGGGTAGGCCTCTGAAGTGGCCACTTTGGGGGCAGCTATCTTTTATGGTTGAAGACGAAGAGAAAGGGATTAAATAAGTCCCGGTCTCCTATAGCACTCCCAGGCTTATTAGGATGGAGAAATACCCGCCTAAGAAATTTTGGTCAGACCGGTTGTCTGCTTTCAAACCCTATCTCCTGATAAGATGTTATTAATGACAATGCGTGCCTGAAACTTCATTAGCAATTTTAATTTCACCCCATCCTGTGGTCTTGTGATCTTGCCCTGCCTCCATTTGCTTTGTGATATTTTATTACCTTGTGAAGCATGTGATCTCTGTGACTCACACCCTATTCATGCACTCCCTCCCCTTTGAAAATTGCTAATAAAAACTTGCTGGTTTTACGGCTCAGAGAGCACCATGGAACCTGCCAACATGTGATGTCTCCTCCGGACACCCAGCTTTAAAATTTCTCTCTCTTGTACTCTTTCCCTTTATTTCTCAGACCAGCCAACACTTAGGGAAATAGAAAAGAACCCATGTTGAATATCGGGGTTGGGGTTCCCCTGATATGAAGCCATTAGATTTTTGAAAGTCTGGAGATGAGGAGTTAGTATGGCTTCTGAATGTAGGACTCACTAATACCTACTAATATCTGTCTACCTAAATACTCATCTACCAAGGATATTGTGTAGGTGAGATGATTCATAATATTGGAACTTTATAGAGTTATTTAGATTTAAGAGGCTAAATGGTAGAAGAGACTCAGGAAAGGAGATTATGAAAGAAGAAGAGGAAGATAGAGAGCTAGTGAAAAGTGGTATTGTGAAAGTTAAGGAAGCAGAGAGAATGAGTAAGGGGTATTAACAGTGTCACGTGCTACAAGGAAACCAAGTGAAGGAAATTTTTGTTTGTTTTGTTTTGTTTTGACTGAATCTTGCTCTGTGGCCTTGGCTGGAGTGCAGTGGCGGAAGCTCAGCTAACTGCAAACTCCACCTCCTGGGTTCAAGCTGTTCTTGTGCCTCAGCCTCCTGAGTAGCTGGGATTACAGGTATGTGCCACCACACCCAGCTAATTTTTGTGTTTTTGGTAGGAGACAGGGGTTTTGCTATGTTGTCCAGGCTGGTCTCGAACTCCTGGGCTCAAGTGATCCACCCACCTTGGCCTCCCAAAGTAAGGTTTTTAAAGAGTTTTCGTATTTGGCTGTAGGTGATCTTGGGAGATCTTTATGAGAGCTATTTTCATAGTATGATGGAAACCAGACGTAGTGAACCAAGTGAACTGAAATAAGGTTGTGGGAGCATCAAGTATGAACTACTCTTTCCAGGAGCTTGGCTTAAGAGTTAGATGAGTACATGGTACTGGGTAGAAGATAATGTAGGATTGAGAAAAGTGCTTTTGTTGCTGGTGTTTTTCTTTTTTTTTATTTTTAAAAATCTTTACTGTTAGTTTTTGAGATGAGAGAAGTAAAGTGGAATAGTCAAGTAGGAAAATCACAGAGATAGGCTGTTTGTCTAAGGAAGAATCCCCTTTCCTTGGAGGCTGAAAAAGAGAAGAAATTGACCATTGGTAAATTTTAAAATACAAGTAGGATATATTTGGGGTATCCTGCATTAACTGCCTGCCTCAATTTTACTTTTGAAGGAGGAACTATAGTACATACCAAAACCAAGGGTAAAAATGGGAGGGTCAGAGATGAGACTTTTTGTAATAATGGCCCTTGTGTGAGCTGGGTTGAGGCATGTGGAAGACTTTCTGGGTGCCAATGAGTTGACTCTCAATGTGTGGTCACATCAACTGATAGTCCTGTGTGATGTTTCTTACAGGACTCAACCCAACGTAGGAATTAGGAATTTTTTAAGTTCACCTAGAGTTGGTGGTTTTGTTGGTAATGTTCAGTGAATGAACAGTTTAAAGAGGGAGGCTAGGTGTAAGCAAGAGATTGGCTAAAGTGAAAAAATAATAGTGTTTGGGCTAGAAAGCCAGGATTTAAAACTAGCAAAAGAAATCTCAAGGGAGTGGTCATCTCCTTGACAATGAAGCACAGATAACACAGAAGGAAGAGAGTGTAATAGCTGATTAGATTGGTAATTAAATCCAAGAGTTATGGGAAGAGGGTGGAGTGAGGAACCTCTTGCTTTAAAGGTGGCAGTTCTGATAAAAACACCAAGATAAAACTATGGCAGTGGGTGACTGAAGAGGCATGGAGTTGGGGTCATCTGAGAATCTGGAAGTTTAGCAATAGGTTGGTAACATGGGTTCTAGAAGCAGACTATCCAGGTCCAAATCCCTATGCCCTGACTTATTAGGTATGTGATCTTGAACAAATTATTAACTGCAGCAAATGTTGGTTACTTTTCACTGAAATGGGGATAATAGTGTCTCATTTTAGATTTGTGTTGGGATTGAATGAGGTAATTCATATAAAGCATTAAATCTTTGGTATAACTTGAGTACTCAATGCATTTCAGTCACAGTCATAATTATTTGATTATTATTGCTCCTTTTCTTTTAAATTTCAGCTTATACATCACCTCCTATGGGAGACTGTCTGCAGCCACACTGTAGACTATAGATGCCTTTAAGTAACTCTCCATCATGTTTTAGCACCTAGGACTATCTACTATAGTGGTTGATGAAAATACCTCCCTAATTAGAGTTAGCTTCTCTGGTATTAAGACTGTGTCCTATTAATTTTCTATAAACCATACGCCTGATGAACAGGAAGTGTAACCACTTTCTTTCCAAGGATTTGTTGAAAAGAAAAATCAGTTCCATTTCTCTTTTGATGAAGAATCACTTGATTGCTGCTTGTTAATCAAGTTGATTTCTAGCATATTGGTAACACTTTTAGAATAAGAGCAAAAGGTAAACCACAATTACAAGGGTTTTTCTGATCTTATTGTAGAATTTTCTACACACACAAGTACACAGTTCTCAATTTCCCATTTGGGTGGATGCAGTGTCTTCCAGGCTGCCTTGAATTTAGCAAACTGGACAAATGCAAACCTGTTGCCTAGAAAATGAAGTTTGTTTTTGAGGCATTTAAAAAAATGTTTGCTGTAATGTCAAACTATGATTTTAATCATGTGGGAGATTATATTTAACCTTATTTGAGCCATAGATCATGGAATCTAGACCTGGAAACTCTGCTGTTGGGGCCAAAGGAGCTTGGTAAATGTTTCTAGTTTCATTTGTCTGGGCTTTAGTTCAGTGGAGATGTTATTTATTGTTTATCCAACTCACAGCCTCATTCTAGCCCCTTGAACCCATTCTTATTTGGACACATGACCTTTTTATGTTACCTTTGTTGCCACTAAGTATTTGGAAAGTAAGGCTCAGGAGGGGCAGCTTATGTGACCCATTTTAAGCGCTTTATTTCTGAATTTATCACTTTCTTACAAAGCTTTACAAAAGTGGCTTAATGTTAATGATTCTTTAATGGCTTAATGTTAATGATTATTTTATTTGTATAAACTTACTTAGAACAATATCTTCTCATTTTTAAACTTAAAATAGATATTTACTTATTCTTAAAATATGTATTAATCATGATGATTTAGTGTAATTTCCAAATATATAATCACCATCCTGGCTTTAGGGAAGCTAGACTTAAGGCTTTTTTTCTTGGTTAGAGAAATATTCAAAATAAAGTTAAATTAAATGTATTTATAAATGTGTACTATAGTGATTCATATCAGCTTGGGATAAGTGCTTCAACATATAATATTATGTTGGTTTATCTGGAAATAATCAATGTATAAGCACTTTATTGGGAACCTAATATAGTGTTATCTATGCTGATGTTTCTGTCACATTATTGTTACTTATTTTTGTTTTCCTATTATAATTTTGTTTTGCTGCCAGAAAGCAAAATGTTATATATGATTGCTACTAACAGTTCTCTGATAACCTGACAAATTTTAAAACATTAATATTTCTTCAGTTGGACAAAACACTAGGTTGTTACTAAAATAATGCACATTGTTTTCTTCAAAAGTGCCTTCTATTTTAGTGTCAGTTGGAAACCCATATTTTCATTTTTTGGATAAAAAATAGTCCAAAAAAGAGGGAATATTTATATAAAAAATTATTCCCAACTAATGTGGTTATAAAATACAAAGAAAATGACTCATATTTTCTAAATTGATTGCTAATGAATTTTAATACAGATGATTTCCATTTCAGTGACATTAGAGATTCTTGTTTGATGATATGCTACACATCTAATTTTGACAAGCATTTGTTCCTAATGTTTCACATGCTTTATTCCTAGAATTTAACACGTGAACTGGAGAATGGGGAAAAACAGCAACTCCAGATGTTGGATCGACTTAAGGAGATCCAGAATCACTTTGACACATGTGAGGCCGAGCGTAAGCATGCTGACCTTCAGATCTCAGAGCTGACTCGCCATGCGGAGGATGCAACCAAGCAGGCTGAGCAGTACCTCAGTGAGCTCCAGCAGTCAGAGGCCCTGAAAGAGGAGGCGGAGAAGAGGAGGGAAGACCTGAAACTGAAAGCTCAAGAATCCATTAGGCAGTGGAAGCTTAAACATAAGAAGTTAGAGCGAGCGTTGGAGAAACAATCTGAAACAGTTGATGAACTGACAGGCAAGAATAATCAGGTATAAAAGCCACATTCCTAAGGAATGGTTTTCAATGTGACCCATCCATTCATTCATCTGTCCTTTGAAAAAACACTTGAGTGCCATACTGTGCATATGATCAATATGCCCTTGATAGAAGAATCCTTATGGTTGACTGTTTCAAAGTATAAAAGTTAATTTTTAAATATTTTTTACTTAAGCCTTTTCATAGTTTAATATTATGTGGCTTTTCAGCGTTGGCCCATCAATAGATGTACCCCTTGCCCCAGTTTAGGTGTAAGTTTCCTAAATTGAATTATTCTTTAATCTCCTAATATTCCAATGGAAGAAAATTACTAAATCTTCCTTATTTTCACACAACTTTCCTCCCAATGCATGTATTTTAAAATCTCATTTATTTATATATTTCAACTAGGTATTGGTTAGAAAGAAGCATTTAAAAAATGCAGTAGTTACTAGGGCCATTTACTGGCAGCAACTGTAATGGGCTTACTTAAATGCTTACGCTGAGGATCTCACTGACTGAGCAGTGTTATGGGATCACAACCCTCTTCAAGACTTTGCTTTTATGCCCTTTTGATAGCAACAAAACGCATTTCACTCATCTATGTATGCATTTCACATTAACTTTTCTCTTGTATAATCAGTTACTTTAAATGGATTTTATGCTCCTATGTTGATTCTCATCTGATATATCTTTGGGTTGAATTAAATCCAGATGTTTATAAGATAATAAGCAGGAAAGTCGTGATTGATTTTTATCCATGTTTATTCTTGGTTTATCATTTGTGCTTTGTCATTTGTCACTTGTCAAGAACTCTGTACATTCCAAATGAATAATCATTTGGATAAGTTGACTTTCTTTGAAAAGAAAACAAAATGTAGGGCATTATATTTATAAAATCAATTTTCAGCATTTAAGAGTGACAGATGCTTATTTCAGATGAGCTGTCATGGAAAAGATACTTTATCTTTTACATATGAATTTCTCGGACATATAGAAGATGAAAAAAATGATCATTTTGCACTCACTGCAGATTGCTTTTCATTTTAACCCATCTGACACATACTGAGTGGCTGGTTGCCCTGGAGTAAAGCAGTTCTAAAGCTTTCAGACTTGTGCCTGAACTGATCTGATCCCAGGAAATTGCTCTTTTGATTATTCTGTTGTCAGCCTGATCTGGCAACTGGCTCAGTGAGCCTGACTGTAAGGTAGGTAGGTAGCTAGCAAGAGGAGTGGTTGAGGGAATTGACTGATTGAAAATCTCATCTGGAGATTTTGCTTAATTAGAAGAGATTTAGAAGGGTCCATGTCATCATACAGTATTCCAGTCCATGGTGCTGAGACTTTTCTACGTTGAGTTTTCAGAATATTAAAAATTGTTTAACAATCATTTCCCAGAATACTTCCAATTATTTTTATCACTTAGCATTACTAATGATAAGCAAAGAAGCAGTTTTAAAGTGATTGCCACAGTTAAGGTCGTAACACAATTATCACAGCAGGCATTGTAATTTCTCCTTTAAAAGCCTTAAAAATTAATGCAGCATGTTGCAGTTAGAGCAAAGGTTTTTCAAGGAAAAAGAGTAAGAAATGTGCTCAGTAAATCTGTGATGTGGAAATACATGGTAAATAATTTTGGAAAAATTTTTAAAAAATATATTACTGAATATTATTTCAAAGGGATATTTAATTATTAATAAAATCACAAAGCCACCTTAACACATTTGTAATACAGCTACTTTCTTTTTGATTTTTAGGGCTAATTATTTTCAAAAACTGACTCCAAGGTATTTTGGAAGGGTGTATTAAAATAAAAATTATACTGATTTACAAATATAACATATGGTGGCTTAAAGAATAAATTACTTAATAAGTACCCTTACTGAGTCATTTTATATGCTTATATGATGCTCTCCTCATATTCGCAGTATGGTTCTGTGTCTACCGTCAGTTCTCTTTTTCTAGCATAATTTATTTTCTGCTTTAAGATTTGTTACTTAAAAAATATACTAAATGACAAAAGGCTATTTTCTCTTAAAAACTTCTCTGATTTATTTCTTTTTTACTGCTCTTTACATTTCTGGAATCTTAGTAAGATTATAAGATATCATATTACAAAACTACTTCGTTACTGAATGATGTGGAATATCAAATCGCATATCACTGCAGAAAAACAAAAAACCCAGACAGATCACATTGTATACTTTCCTCAAAGACAATGAAATGGATATTTACATCAGGGAATTGTGATGTACTTCAGGGATATGTAGGTAACACATATTAGGAGACCGAAAACTTAATAGATACAAATAATCTAGCCGTAAGTTGTGGTATTTTTGCTTCTCTTTTTCTTTTAAGGTACTGTTTGAAATCATTGGTTTGTACGGGTACTTTGAAAACGATAAAGGAAAAGATTGGACTCTGATCATAGTATATGCTTTTCTGAATGTTTCCAATTTTTTTTCATATTCTTTTTTAATATGGATAATGGGAATACTTTCCAGGGTTTTTTTTTTCCCCCTGCTGAATTGGCAGAATAATTGGCTTGCTTATGTATTGAGCTTTTTGCTTGATAGTGTTTGACTTCAAGAAGCTTAAATTACCATATATTCCTTCGGCATATTTCCCTCCTGCTGGCAAAAAAAGAGTTATATGTAATATATGCTATCTTGTAAAATCTGAATTTTTGAATGGTTGAAAGTAAGAAGGATCAGTGCCAAAGTGTATGATTTTTTGAATGCATATACAGTCCTATCACATACAGTTCAAGAAATGCTAGAGTATGTATTAGTATAATCCAGCCATCTGCCTGCATTTTCCCTCACATGCAGGTAAACAAAACAAAACAAAACAAAAACATTGAGTAATCCCCTCATCTACCTTTTAGTTAATTAAAAAAAAAAAAAACCAAAAAAACAAAAAACCAAACTATATATAAAATACTTTGTGTTCAGGTCTTTGAGGACTTGGCTTCTGTTTCTATAATCGCCATGGTTTTAGATAGTATTATTCTTTTGGCTTCACACAACTATTTTAAGACCTTTTTTCAATAATCTTTTCTTTTGCCCCTTTTTTGGAAGCTTGGACTGCCTGGTTAGAACATTCTTTTCCCATTTTTGCTCTTGACTGCTGGCTATTTTTCATTTGTGCCCCTATATTTCTCAAGGATTTTAGCTTGGCTTTGCATCATCCTGTTTTATGTCATGTAATTCTTGCCATCATCCTTAGTAACTTCAGAGTTCAAGTCCTCAACCTACTGAAGTCTGCAACCTTCTAATTCACTAATGTCTTATTTTATAGTGACCTTCACTGAAATAATTCTACTTCAGTGTCGAATTTCTGTGTTTAAATTTTATCTTCATCTGTAATTGTTCCATGTTCAAGCCTTCTGTTCCAAAGCTCAGTGTCTGATCTTTCAGAATTCTTCTCTTCCCTACCACCTAGCTTTTTAAACTATTAATACCCAATTTTGATCTTTCTATATTCCTCTGGTTTACTAGCCAGTTTCTGGATTCAGTTTTCTTCCTGTCACATTGGACTTCATCGAAAGCTACTTTGATGTTGTTCTCATCACATCTTCAATTTCTTTCTTCTCCCTCATACATTTTACCGATTTCTAATCTGGAGTCAACCCGACTTTCCACTTTTTCCATTCCTTCTCCTAAACAGTGACAGCAAAACTTCCATAGAAATAGCAGTTGGCTTCTATAGTATTCATGGTTACCTCCTCCCTCCCCCTATCCATTCCATTCAATAATTAATGCAAGACCATCACTAGGTACAGAATTGCATAGAGGTGGAGCCAGAGCTTTGACATACTGTCTCTGGAGCAGTTTTGCCTGGAATGATTTTCTTGTGGTTTAAACCAGTTCGGATTGGGATTTTCTCTTACCCTCAGCAGAAGAAATTCACGTTTATGTAAACTTTGAGTTCTAGCAATAAGGAGCTGTAAGCAAAATAACCTAAATTGTAGGATTGGCTGAGAGGAGAAGTAGGGTAAGGGGCAAGAGAGGATCATATTGTTCTAAAGGGAAAGTTGGTAAACTTTGCTATGTGGTTGGAAGCAACTGGTTTAAAGAGAAATCGTATTTAGGGGCATTGATGCTGTGAATAAGAGGATAGTATTAAGTGACTGGTAGGAAAACTTTAGGATGTTGGAGTATGTTGTGTGCGTATTTCAGCCTTCAGTAATGTATTACAAGAGAAAGACAAGTTTAGGTTGAAACTTTTCTGTCTAAAAGCAGAGTTTTGTTCGTTTCTGTTTGTTTGTTTGTTTGTTTCCTTTTTTAAGATGAGGAGCCTGAAGTCTGCAATCTATAATCCATATTGACTATGAGTCTGATAATTTGGAATCCTTTAGGCTTGGAAAAGCCAAATTATTTATCCAAACTGAAATTGGTGCAAGCATAAGAGGGAAGCAGGAAACAGCAAGAAAAAAAAAGAGTTAAAAATCAAGCCTTTTTCTCAGGATCCTTTCAAGTATTTAAGCATTCCTGGCCAGACAAAGGGGACCCAGTTCCACTGTTCTGATCTTCCTCAAGATAAAGGCTACTCAATTGAGGGCCCTGGGTATGTCCAGGGTATTGAGATGGTAGTAAAGACATAAGACATTTTCAGACTCAAAGAAACATCTAGACAAAATCTTAAGCTGTGGCTACTAGGCAAGCAATTAACCAGAAGCAAATCGACAGAGCTTAGTTTTTAGTGTCTGTATTGCCAAAGATATTCTAAACTTGATCCACAAGGTCAGTGACGGTCTGCCCTGTGGCTGTCACCTTTGTCAGGAATTGATGTGATGCTTGGAACACTACAAAGACAGCAAAAGATGGAGAGTTATAGAGTAGCAGAGCCTGAGCTTTGAGGGATTCTTCTTGAACGACCCTATCTCTGGACTTCCTGTTATGTGAGAAAAAGAAATATCTTTGCTTTTTAGTCCAACTTCAGGAAGATATAATATTTCATAATTAAAGACACTTTACATGGTATGACTTCATTATGAAAAATATGATTTTAATCCTCAGCACTGCCTATAAGTCTCTCAACTCATGCCAAGGGGGCTAAGTTATCTGCTTCAAACAGATATCACTATACTGAAGGCCCCTACCCTTGCTCAGTCCCTCCCATGCCATCTTTACAGCCCAAACTTGATTCTATCAGTTTTTGTGCTCTCTAGTTTGGTAAGTAGAATGACCCTCCCCAAAAAAGCCACCCTAATTTCTGGAATCCATGAATATGATAAGACATTACTCCTGTGATCACATTATCTGGATGGGCCTAATCTAATCACATGGGCCCTCAATAGAAGTTTTCTTTCTGGCTGTTGGGAGAAAGGGACGTCGGAGAGAGTTGAAGCTTGGGAAGGATTCATCAAGCTGTTTAAGCTTTGAAGATGGCAGAGTCCATAAGCCAAGGAACAAGGTTGGCTTCTAGAAGTTCAGAATAATCGCTGGCCAAAAGCTAGCAAGGAAATGGGTACCCAAAGTCCTACAACTGTATGGAAACAAGTTGTATCAGAAACCTGAGTAAACTTGGACATGGATTCTCCTCAGAGTCTCCAGACAAGCCCTGGCCAGCTGATACCTTGATTTTAGTCTTAGGAGGCCTTAAACTGAATACCTTGCTTGGCCATTTGACCTATTGGAAGCAGTGAGATAAAAAATGTGCATTGTTTTAAGCTACTAAGTCTGTTCGAAATTGTTATGAAACAGAAAAACAATACATCTACACTTAGGCTCATCTATATTTCTCCTACCTTACATTCTTTTGAAATTGAACTCCTTCATCTGTGTTCCAGAGTTCCTCCTCTTCAGTTATCCCGTCTTTTCACAGTAGAGACGGCGTCTTGCTATGTTGCCCAGGCTGGTTTTGAACTCCTGAGCCATAGCTATCTTCCCACCTCAGCCTTCCAAATAGCTGGGATTATAGATGTGTGCCACTGGGTCTGGCTCTTTTTACAGTTTTGATCACTACCTTGCATAAACACCTCCCCAAGACCCTAGTACCTCCTTGAACTTAAATTCTACTCCAACTTTTTGTTTCCCCTTTCTCACTGATCTTCATCACAGTCTTATGAAATAGCTATTATTCTTTTCTCTAGTAAGAGAAATGATTTCTCTGAGGCCATAGAATTGCCCATGATTGAACTGAGAATCAAATTCGCTTCTTTCTGGTCAGAGCTCAACTGCTTATTCACCTCCTTTTATTAGTTCTCATGTTATCTTTGTGCTCTTTCTTTCTTTCAGTTAAAATTGAGAGGGATTGGGGAAACTTTTTTTTGGAGTGATTGACTCATTAAATTTTTATCATAAATTGTTTTACACTGCAATATAGAATGTGAAGTGTAGAAATGTCTTGCAAATATTTGCATTTTAACTCATTATTTGTAATTCTGAAATGAGTCTTAATTGGTTCCTTTTTTTTCCCACCTGTTTCAAGACATGGTGTGGGCATCAGTAAGTAGACAGATTATCTTTGGTGCCAGTGTTGTATAGAAAACAATCTTGGCTCCCTAGGCTGCCCACTATTTTATTTGCAATGATTAGGTGGTGAGAATTAGAGGCCAGAAGAGTTAACCCTTGACCTCTGTCCCTCAATGTAAATCGTAGAGAGGCTGGCATAGAATGAAGGACTTCTAGGCCCTTGACTTTTCACTTGAGCCCTTTCCCCACTTTCCCTGACTTAATCTCATTTCTATCTTTGTGGGCTTCAAGGCTCCCAGTTGCATATTGGTGACTTTTTGTCACCATTGATATTTTGAAAATAATGGCTGAATGTGCCATAAACTTTCTTATATTGTATCTGCATGCTTCCCTATATTATTTTTCATCTCTGTCTTGGGATTTCTCCTTTTTAAAAGTATATCATTGGAATGCACATCATTATTATTTTAGGTAATACTGTATTATTTCAACCTCTAGTAAGTTTTCTTTTTAATGGGAGTCTTTGCTTTCCCCATTTGCTTGCCCAATTCTATCTAACATTTAAATAATTATTTGTAACCATGGATTGAAATAAGTTTTGGTGATGAAAATTTGAAATATATATTTCAGTGTGTTGCTATTTCAGGACAATTATATATTGCCCCTTGCCCCTCTGCTTTCTAGCCTAAAAGTATTTTTATTACAAAATGGAAAAAATGCAAAAATTATTTGATGAATTTTGTTTCTCCTTGTGGATTAAACTTTATGTTGCTGACTGGCACAGTCTATGGTGAATTTTACAGTAACTTTTTTTTTCTTTTGCTTCATGTTCTTAACCTGATAGATTTTAAAAGAAAAGGATGAATTGAAAACCCAGATGTATGCAGCATTACAACAAATAGAGAATCTTCGAAAGGAATTGAATGATGTCCTAACAAAGCGTGCCCTTCAGGAGGAGGAGCTTCACTCCAAGGAGGAGAAACTACGTAATATTAAGTCTCATCAAGCTGACCTTGAATTGGAAGTCAAGAATTCCCTGGATACCATCCATAGACTGGAAAGTGAATTGAAAAAGCAGAGTAAGATCCAAAGCCAAATGAAAGTTGAGAAAGCTCACTTGGAGGAAGAAATTGCAGAGCTCAAGAAGAGCCAGGCCCAGGACAAAGCTAAACTTCTTGAGATGCAAGAGTCCATCAAGGACCTGAGTGCCATCCGAGCAGATCTTGCTAATAAATTGGCCGAGGAAGAGAGAGCCAAGAAAGCAGTGCTTAAGGACCTTTCTGACCTCACTGCACAGGCAAAATCCAGGGATGAAGAAACAGCTACAATCATCACACAGTTAAAGCTGGAACGAGATGTGCACCAGAGGGAGCTGAAAGATCTCACATCATCATTGCAGAGTGTGAAAACAAAACATGAACAGAATATCCAGGAGCTTATGAAGCACTTTAAGAAAGAAAAGAGTGAGGCTGAGAATCATATCAGGACACTGAAGGTACCTCTGCTGAATTATCCTGATGATACTGAAGGAATTTTTCTGGTGGCTCATGAAGTTAATAAAGCGTAAACTTTTAGAGATCATTCTGTATTCCCAAGCACTGAAGGGAAGATAAAACCAACAATAAAGAGGCTTATTCATGCCTGTTCGGCCAGGTTGAAATGAGTTACAACAGCCACCTGGGAGCACCTATTTCAGAGCACTGAAGCCCTTTATAAAGAACGTTTAGCTGTTTGGGGAGTTCAGGAAAGGCAGAGGTGGCAGTAAGTCGTGGACCTGAAACGTGCCCTCATTCAACATTTATGACCTCCTAAAATATAAAAGGCAAAGACTCGTCAAGGCCAGAGAAGCTATAACCACAGTCCTTATTAGTATGGTAACTAAAGTGGATTAGCTTATGGGCTGTGTAAACCCAAGGCTTTTGAGATTTACTCCTTCTTTTCCAAATCAAAGTTGCCTGGGTAAATGCCTAATTGGGATCTTGCATTTGAAGAAATGTTTCTAAGGTCTAATGTTATTAGCATTATCACCATGCAGGGCAATCATTTTATAACATGATTGTCAGGAGTGTGATAAATCTGTTCCTCTTCCCGTCTTTTTTAATTTTTTTTTCCCCATAACACTTATCATATGATATAGATTCCATATTATTTATATTTTAATCTCCCTTTTTTGAAATGAAGACTCTCTGAGGATAGGGATTTTAGTCTGTTTTGCTTCTAGCTATATCACCAGTGCCTACAACAGTTTTTTGGAGCATTGTAAATATCTATTGAATAGGTGAATGAATGAATGGATAAATCTTCAAAGGTTAATTATTATAATGTTTTTCAAAAGTCTTTGAAATGCAACTACTGTTTTCAAAATGCTTGTGATGCAAGATGAAATGATATTGAAACAGCTGACATCTGTAAAATGATGTGGCTATTCTATGAGTTCTTCCCCAGTCCTAGATAGCCTTCTGGCATGAAGATTTGGGGTCTTCAATTGGGGTTGGTGGGTCAGAATGGAGGCTAAAATAGGTAAGAGGCCCTTACTATATTTCATTAAACCTAAGACACCTTGTCAGGTGCATCATTGCTGTTATTACTAGATGCATGTCATCCTAAGAAATAAAAATGCTGCCTCCTGCCTATGAAACCATGATATGTCATCAAGTGTAAGAACTCCCAGGTCAGAGATGGTAAAATGTGGAAGATACACATTTTAATTTTGATGAACTATGGAATAGTAATCTTTCAGAGTTGATGAATATATAAACAAAAGTAGAATTAGGGGGATGTGGAGAAGAAGAGCTGATCTTATAGAAAATAAGATATATATTACATGTTGATTGATTGGCTGTGACAATAACAATACTACCAGCAAACAGTTTTTCAACACTTTATGCCAGTCACTGCTCTAAGAACTTTACAAGTGTTAATCATTTAATACCCACCTCCCCCTGCAGATTGTGTGGTATTATTTTCTCCCCGATGAGGAAATTGGGATACAGAAGGTTAAGTAATTTGCCCACGGCTTTAGAGCAGGGGAGTGGTAGGGAAAGGATTTGAACTCAGGTAATTAACTGACTGTGTTCTTAACTGCTTTGCTAGGCTGGAAAAAAGTTTAGACTCAAGGATGGGTAGGTAATGACTTTGGGTGATTAGGTGGATAATGATGCTATTGCCAATATAGAGAATACAGACAGAATAGAAGATTTGAAGAGAACAGTGGCAAATCTAGTTTGTTTTTGTTGTTGTTGTTTTTTAGCATATTGTCTTAGGGGGAGGAATTTTAAGCTTAACCAAGAAAGTCTAGGTGGAACAGATTAGCACATAATTAGTACATAATAATTAGTAGGGTCAAGAGTTGAGGGAGAAATTGAGATTAGAGTGAAATATTTGAGAGCCAGTTAACTCTTGGGTGGTAGTTGATGTCATGGGATTTGGATGAGATTGTGCAGATAATAAAAAGAGGATGAGACTCTCAAACACTAATGTTTGAAGGAAAGAATTTACTAAAAGGGCCTAGCAAATGAAAATAGAAGACCATATGACAGACAGATAGGAGGAGAACCAAAAGAGAATGATATCTTAGAAATCCAGCTAAGACATTTTAAGAAAGTTATAATCAAGAATGATAAATGTGACAGGCAAGCTGAAAGAAGAAGTATAAAAAGCCTTCATTCCATTCAACAGAGGTTGATGGAGGAAGTACATGAGGAGATGTGAGAGGATTTGATAAAAAAATAAGAGTATATAGCTTTCAACAGGAGACAAGGCCTCCTTCCTCTGAAGGATTCAGAGGAAACTAGTAAGACTAGGTAAGTTGGTAGGGATGATCTGGGGAAATTGATGTGAATCTTGACTGATAGCCTTTCTTCTCTCTGAAGTAGAATAGGACAGCAGTGCAGCAAGAAATTAGGAGCAGTGAAGATGAAAACTGGTATGAAGACTGGTACAAACTGAACGAGACTAGTCTAGGAGCATGTAAAGTACTTCCATGTGGCTAACATTGAAGAACAAAGATTGTGGGCAAAGGAATGAGAAAGCTGAAGGATAAAAATCTGCAGTCAGAGGTTGTTGATTTGGTCAGGAATTCTTATATTGCAGTGCAATCTAAAAGTTTTCAGGGTTAAGGTCTAAGGTGTGGTCATGCAGTGGTTGCTATTGTGCAATGTTGGTGTAGGTAGTTGGGAAAGAACAGGTCAAATAACTTTGAAGCTATCTTATGGGATGGACACTTGGATATTTAAGATATTGTGAAGGCATTAATTGGTCACATGCCAAAAACCACAGTGAAGAGGGTGACTGGTAAGTCAGCTGTTAACAGCAAGGTAGAGGGGGTTGATGAGAAATAGTGTGATATGAAAGGAAGGCAGGGTTTTTGCATGAGGACAAGCATGTAATGATTTGTTGGAAGAAACTGGCATGGCATAGAGCAATGGTTTGTTTTAAGAAGCTTGCAGTTTTCTTTAGACTGTTGTTGAAACTAGAGCCTTCCTTCTCACTAGTACTTATGTCTTATCACCATTATTTAGGTTGTATAATAACACAATGGTCAGAAGTTAGTAATAGTTTTTTCAGTTAGAGCATGTTCAAGGTCATCTCTATAAGGCCATAATTCTCACATTCAGATATGCATTCTTCAATGAGAAATAGTAATTGCTTTTGCTCATGGATACATTGGCATATGGACAATATATCATGTCGTACTAGAAAACAGAATGCAGACTGCTAACTTGCAACCTAGCCATACTTCTAAGTAATTTCCCTATTTCCCTCTAGTTCCTTTCTCTACCCACAACCCCTCCCTTTATTCCCCCAGGTACTCTCTAATTTCCTTTCCCAAAATATATATCTGAGTGTGTTACTTTCTACTGAACAACCTTTGTTAATTATTTACTGTCTCTGTAATAAAGTCTCCACTCCAGCCCAGCCCAGCGCCCCCCTTAAAATGATTCTACCTTACTCATGTACATTCATTACTTTTTTTTTGAGATGGAATCTTGCTCTGTCACCAGCCGGGAGTGCAGTGGTGTGATCTCAGCTCACTGCAGCCTCTGCCTCACAAGTTCAAGCGATTCTCCTGCCTCAGCCTCCCAAGTAGCTGGGACTATAGGTGTGCACCACCATGCCCAACTACTTTTTGTATTTTTAGTAGAGATGGGGTTTCACAGTGTTGGCCAGGATGGTTTCCATCTCTTGACCTCATAATCCACCCGCCTCGGCCTCCCAAAGTGCTGGGATTGCAGGCACGAGCCACTGTGTCCGGCCCATTCATTACCTTTTATGCTCTCCAACATTCCTCGTGCAAATACAGATCACTGTGCATACTTCTGACTGCTCATTCTCTATCTGAATTGGCCTCCTAGGCTGCAGGAAGAAGAATTCTGCCAAATCCTTTAAGGCCCAATTTGTTACTTCTTTTATGGATCCACTGAAGTTGGAATAAATCTCGACTGAGGTGGGGCTAATCTCTTGGTCCGCTGTGTGTCCATAGGTCTTTATTGGTGCCTCAGGTACAGCACATTTAGGCTGCCTTGTATTTTGGTTTGTTGAGTGTGCATAAGTCTCTAGAGGGATAGGCATTAGATCTAAGCCATTTTGTATCCTCTTATGGTGTCTAGCATAATATTCCAGACATACAGAAGATACTCGGTGGATATAAATTGAAATGTTGAAAAAGGTAGAAATCAGAGCATTTGCTCCTGACTTGCTCTATGATCTGTTTCGTTTGAATTTCTCCATGTAATGTGGAAAAATTGATTTCCTCATTTTTTTTGAGGAAGTACTTTGAGTTCATTTGTTGTGAGATGATAACAAAGCTTTACTAAATTCCCTATGTGTAAAGAATTTAGAATTTATAAGCATTCTGTGGATCTTCTGAGTCCTTTGGGCTTGTTTTTTTTTTTTTTTTTTTTTTTTTTAATTTGAAAGATTGAGATCTGGGAGGGGTGTTAAAGCTATTCCCTAATGTGTGGTATTGAAGTTGCTCTAGAATTGGAAGAATGGCCAGAGATTGTGTGAGCTCAGCAGCTTCCTTCGAAACCAAACAATTTACCCTTAAGAAACAATCACCACCTCATGCTATTTTATTAATATATCCATACTTTTTACTTATTTATGTTAATTAAAATGAGTGGATAGCAAAGGCCATCACAGGAGATGTAATATACTGAATTATGCACACAATGGAGTTTTAGACAAGTAGCTCTACAAATGTTTTATTTCTGTGTTTTTCAGCTTCATTTTAACTTACTACATTTTTGAGTCTAATAAGCTCTGATTAGTCATCCATATTTTTTTCTCTGTACACTTTAGTTCTATTTTTTCCTCCATCTAGAATCACCCCTCTCATACCTATTTTTAAATTTAAATTTAAAATGTTTTAATGACATGCTCTGCTATTAATATTTTCAGGATATTGGTCTGTTACCTCATTGCAATTTCAACAAAATCATTTTGTAGAGCCTTTTTTTGGAATCAAAAGATGCAGGATTGGAGTTGTGTGTTTTTGCCATCTGCTGACCATTTGATCTTGGTCAAGTTACTTCACTTTTTTATGCTTCACTGTTAAAATAGGAATAGTAATTTCCTTCTATATCACTGGGTTGTTGTGCACAAACATGAGTTTGTAAATTCTGAAATGAAATATAAATGTAATAAAAACCACAACAATAAGTAAGTTGTTAGTCAGGCTTCAGCATTGATGTGCTGATAAATATTTGAAAACAAGCTTCCGGTGGGTGGAAAACCCTTGATTTTTGGCATTTGCCAAGTTTGGTAGTTCTGAATACCACTTTCTTGGCTGATTTCAAGATATCAAATGAGATATCATTGGAGAGGGGTGAAGTTGGGACGAGAAGAGTACAGTTGGCTTTTGACAGTGTCTGTGAGCTGGCTGCAGCACACTACAGACCTTAGGGGGAATTCTTTGTATTTACCTATGCTTTTGTTAGGACATAAAAAAAAGTAAAAGCATCCTACTGAAACTTAAAATCGTAATTGAACAATTTTCCTGATGAGAGGTTTTATTTTGTAAATTTATTTTGGGCTGTGAATATAGGATTGCTCATAAAAAATCAATTTCTTTGTTAATTTAATGTGGCATCAACTCTTAGGTAAATTTTGTGAGGTAAATAAAATATAGATTTTGTCTAAAACTCACAAAACTTATTTCAGGAGATTGTTTCCATTGATTGTGTTCCTATATACCTAATTAAACTCATATAATAAACTTATAAAAATAAAAGAAACATTTTAGGCATTAAAACATATATTTCAAACAGATTAAATGTGATTGCTTACAGACTGTTAGCAACTGGTAGGTGTGTTTTCGTGCATTTCTAGTTTCACCCAGTTGGTTTTTAAAACCTAATGATACTGTACCTTTTGAGAGGCAGTGTGGTATAGTTGAAAGCATGGACATTAGAAAGAATTCCTGGGTTCAAATCCTGACTCTGCATTTACTCACTGTGTATCTTTGGGAAAGTGATTAGCTTGCTTTTTTTCTTATTATTATTGCAATCAGGACAATAATAATATCTTATTTCATTCTCACAGGTTGTTACGAGGATGAAATGAGGAAAACCTGTATACAAAAAGGTCTTAGAGCAGTGTCCGCCACATAGTGTTTACATTGTTGTTATTTCAAAATTCTTTAAGTTCACATACCTGACAAATCTTTACTGAATTTCCTGTATAAAATAGATAATTCCCAAAGTTTATTTTTTAAAAGCTGATTCTGGTTATATGCTATATAAAGATCAATAAATAGATATTTCACTATACTACTGATGTTGAAAAAATAACTGGTAAACTTTTTCATATTAAGTTTGTAGTTTCTTGGTTGTTATACTTCATAATGTTTTTTAGCCCCGTAAGAGTAGTATTGATAATGACTTACATAAAAAGTACACAATTATTTCATAGAAACCAGGAGTGAAGTCAAACAGGAATGTTAAGCCCCGTCTATAGACAAGGGAACTTACCAGTTAGTAACATCTCATAGTATTTCCTTTTTGGGATACTTCTCTAATAACTCCTTCCCCTCTGAGCAGAGCTAGTATTTCTTCTTTGAATTTCCAAAATGTCCAGCTTACACCTTTGATAAGCACTTCTCATTCAGTCTTGTCAAATAGATCATTGCATCTGACTCTCTTACTATTCATATCTGTTATCTTTAGCATCTAGTCCAGTATCTACCACTTCATAAATGCTTGGTAAATACTGATGAGCGATTGAATAAATGCAAATAACATTTCCCTTATGTTTATTTTAATTTTTATATATGAATGCTTTGAACGAGCTAAAATCTTGCAGTGTTTTTCCACTGATAAAATGTGTAATGTGTTTGGTGTATTTTGGCTATGGCTAGTGGACTTTCTCTTTTTTCCTTCTCTTTTTCTCAGGCTGAAAGTTTAGAAGAGAAGAATATGGCTAAAGTTCATCGTGGTCAGCTGGATAAGTTGAAATCACAGTGTGACAGACTGACAGAGGAATTAACCCAGAATGAAAATGAGAACAGAAAACTGAAGCTAAAATATCAATGTTTGAAGGATCAACTAGAAGAAAGGGTAAAAATATGAGTGAATTCTAATTTCAAATTCTAATTTCAATTTTAATTTCCTCTAGAACATATTTTATATATTAATAAATGATAATTGTAGTCTTTCACAGGAAAGTTATATTGGTGCCCCCCCAAAAAAACAGTTTATTAGAATGCTGTGATTTTTATTCTTTCAACCACCCATTCAGCTTTTAATACATTTGAAGTGTAAAAATTTGATTTTAAATTTTTTCTGTGTCTTAAAATAGAAATTTAGAAATGAAGTAGAAAAAAAAGGAAGGATGGTTTACGGAGGATCCACTATAAGTCAGATATTTATGCCAACTGGTTTACCTATGTCTACCCGTCATTTAATTGCTACAACTATTTGGCTTAGTGTCTTAGTCTGTTTGAGCTGCTGTAACAGAATGCTATAGACTGGATAGAATAAAAACGACAAATATTTATTTCTCATGGTTCTGGAGGCTGGGAAGTCCAAGATCAAGGTGCTGGCAGAATCAGTGTCTGGTGAGGGCCTGCTTTCTGGTTCACAGATGCTTCTTGCTGTGTCTTCACATAATGGAAGTGGAGAGAGAGCTCTCTGAGGTCTCTTTTATAAGGGCATTAATCGTATTCATAAGGGTTCTACCCTTATGAACTAATCACCTCCCAAATCACCTCCCACCCTCAATTATCATCACATTGGAGATTAGGTCAACTATGAATTTTGGGGTACACACATTCAGTCTGTAGCAATTAGGTTTTATTGATCGCTTTTGATCTGTGACAAAACTGAGGTTCAAATTACCTGATGGTTAAATGTTCACTTATGTGCTAGACACTGTAACTATTAATTCTTATAGTAAGAAGGTTGTAACTTTGGTACATCTCCACCAGGCTCACTGCTTTCCTTTGAGTAGATGTGTGAAATTATTGAGTGACTTCATATATCATGTGTTGGATAGAATAGTAAATATTTTTAGAAGTCACTGCTTTTGAGGTTCTCTTGTGGCAAAAAGTCAACTAAGAATAGATAACAGAATATTTAAATTTTTCTCTTTCACCCACTTCCTAAAAGGATTTGAAATTGAAGGTAATAGAAGTCAAATGTAAAAAATTACCATCAAAATATGGTTAATAGGATAAGACAGTATATATATGGGCCAAATGAATGCATGTATGTGCTTGATCAGGGTTACTAAAATCTATGATGAAAGGAATTAGCCCTGGGTGGGCTGTCATAAAACTACTCATAAACTTCTAGGAAGAAACTTTCTTAGTGCTTTGCTTACATTTCTGCTTTTTGTTGTGTATAAAATGTTGCTACTATTAATATATATTATCTATAATTAATATGTATTAATATATAGAGATAGTATTAAAAATTACATATAAATATTGCTCTGGTGATAATGCTAAATTTTTCACCTTTTTCATAATAAAATTCTAATGTATGAAATTATGAAGTTAGCCAGAAGATTGCATTAATGTATTTTATATTTCCATAGCTTCATTTAAGAAATAGTGGTGAAAATTTTGATATGTTGAAAATGTCAGCTGGGCATGGTAGCCCATGCCTTTAATCCTAGCACTTTGGGAGGCTGAGGTGGGTGGATCACTTGAGGTTAGGAGTTCGAGACCAGCCTGGTCAACGTGGTGAAGCCCTGTCTCTGCTAAAAATACAAAAATTAGCTGGGTGTGGTGGCGAACACCTTTAATCCCAGCTATTCAGGTGGCTGAGGCAGGAAAATCACTTGAACCCGGGGGGCAGAGGTTGCAGTGAGCTGAGATTGTGCCACTGCATTCCAGCCTGGGCAAGAGAGCAAGACTCCATCTCAAAAAATTAAAAAAATAAATTAAAAAATGAATAAATGCTGCTTCACAGATTCTATTTATTATATTTCAGGTGCATGTGTTATCACATGTTCATATAAGTAGAGCATTCACTTTAGAACAGAGCTTGAAGAGTTAATGATTTTATTTGAATATTGCTATGTATTGAGCATCTGCTATGTGGCAGGCATTGTGCTGGATGTTGAGGATAGGACAGAGATAAGATACAGGTTTGTTGTTGCCTAACACATAGTGGATTTTTAAAAATAAAATCTCTTTCAGTTGTTAAAACTATATAGTCAAGTCCTGACAATGGGTGCTAATGCAGAGAAAACATGGTCTCTAAAGCCTAAAATGGCATATAATCTTAAAGATACACACACACACACACACACACACTCTCTCTCTTATATATGTAGTTTATATACTTTCTAATCTTTAATATTTATTTTTCATATACATGATTGCTATGTACTTTAGGTCAATTTAGCTGTTTGTGTTGATCCATTTATAGTTAGCTATGAATCAAAATTGTGTTGTATTGAGCCAACTTCAGATAGGGACTTTCTCTTTGAGAGGTAGTGTAGCTATAATGATTATGGGCAAAACTTTGAATTCTTTTCTATCTGTGTGGCTTTAGGCAAGTTATTTAAAACTCAAAGCCTCAGTTTTATCATCATTTAAATGGGCATAATAATATCTTTATTGGGATTAAGTGTGAGAATGTATGTAAAGTGCTTGGCATGGCGTCTGGTATCTAATAAGATATCAGTTAATAGTAGCTGCCATTATTTTGTTATTGTTATGTTTCCAAATATATGCTGACTACTGGTTCAATCAAGCAGGTGTATATGGAATGACTGCCTGCGGTCAGCCTAATGATGTGTTAGTAATTAAAATAATGTGCCTATGATTTCCCTAATCATAAAGCCGCAGAACTTTGCTGATTGGAAGTTTAGAACCAGACTATGTTGAATCATTTGAAACAGAGGAGGCACACATGTGAAAAGAGTTGGCAGGTTCATCAGCAAGTGATATTGAAGGCACATGTGTTAAGCAAACCAAACAGGTGGGCACTTTTATAATTATGCTTGATATTTGAAGAGACAAATTACACCTTGGTCATATTTCCATCTCCAAGACCATGCATAGAGCCTGACACATAGTAGGTAATTTATAAGTAAATTATGGACAAAGAGGTATGTGTGTACACACATACACACACACACACATATATGTATATATGTAAATAAATATGGATACACATACACACATGTATAAGGTGGCCAGTCTGGGGCAGATAAAAGCAAGAAAACAAAATAAAAATATGTTTTCAATGAGGGAAAACCCAATGACTAGTAGCCCGAAGATTACAACGTAAGCAATGCCATGAATTTGATAAATGAGGCCCTACGGGTTGAAGGGACAGCTCTGCTACAATCAAAAGGGGCAGGCGAGGGTAGGGGGGTGGCTTTCTAATTTGCTTAACAAAGTGGTATTTTTACATGCCTATCCCCAATGTCAATGTGTGATGTTACTGAGGCTACCAATACCCACAACCTTTTTTTAAAGCCTTGCTATTATTTTGACTGTGTAGTTTTACATTGTGTTTCTTGTCATGTAGTTATTACCTGGTAAGCTAAGAAATATTGAAACTGCATCAAAATTCATATAAATCATTAGCACCAATGGTAGCATTAATCACTGGTAAAACACTGCCGTTGCTAAATATCCACAGAATAAATGACTTTAGCATATTTTCCTCATGTATTCAGTGGTGATATGTGGTATTAAAATGCATTTTTTCCAACATCTGATTTTGCTTTGTCAAATGTTATTTTTCAGTTTTACAGGACAAAAGAGAACACGTGTTATGCAAACCACAGATTTTTATGTATTCATTTGGTACTTTATTACGAGCTTCTAACTGGGGCAAAAAAGCTACCCTGAAATATTATAGAAAGAATACTCTCCCATCCATAGTATCATTAATTTACTGTTCCTTTTGTTTACATTTTACAGTGAAATATTTGATTCTTCTTTTGTTTCAGAACAATCTTACTGATACTAATCTTGTGATTTTCATGACATTTACCTGTTTATTCTATCAGAAATATATTTTTATTAGTTTCACTGGAATCTGCAAATCAACAAGTGTTACTGCATAATTGCATCATTTTTGTTCAGCCAGTCAGCATTTAAGTTTACATAATGAATTTTTTAAATGCCTGATCTATATGGATCTGTACCTGATGTAATTAAAAGAAAATTCGTATGCAAATAGTTATGAGTTTATAAATGACATCAGCTATCTTCGTAAAGTCAGGTAGTTTGGTAGTAGATATATTAAAAGAAAGATTGATTTTAATTTTGAACATGTTTGTATATTTTTAAAATAGCTGATACTGAAAATTGACATTATTTTATAAATTATTCTTTTTATACTACATATGTTTTCTTCATCCTTATGTTTTATAAATGTGGCTGTTTTATCAAAGAATATGTACAATATTTTGTGCAGATATATTTATATATAATGAGAAAAATTTATATACAATGAGAAAAAAAGAAAATGATAGCAATATTATGATGTTGTTTTTTTTCCTAAGTCTAAGATAAACATCATAAAGACATTTATTTTCCAGTATTAGTGAAGGAATAATTTAATTTTACTGATTATCCGGGGAACCCCACCCCCAATATTCAATGTGGGTTCTTTTCTATTTCCCTAAGCGTCAGTTGATCTGAGAAATAAAGGGAAAGAGTACAAGAGAGAGAAATTTTAAAGCTGGGTGTCTGGGGGAGACATCACATGTTGGCAGGTTCCGTGATTTAAAACCAGCAAGTTTTTATTAGCGATTTTCAAAAGGGAGGGAGTGCATGAATAGGGTGTGGGTCACCGAGATCACATACTTCAAGGTAATAAAATATCACAAAGCAAGTGGAGGCAGGGCAAGATCACAGGACCACAAGACGGGGTGAAATTAAAATTGCTAATGAAGTTTTGGGCATGCATTGTCATTGATAACATCTTATCAGGAGACAGGGTTTAAGAGCAGACAACTGGTCGACCAAAATTTATTAGGCGAGAATTTCCTCATCCCAATAAGCCTGGGAGCGCTACAGGAGACTGGGGCTTATTTCATCCCTTTGTCTTCAACCATAAAAGACAGCCACCCCCAAAGCGGCCATTTT